GATTATAAATACTATTATTAATAAACACTTAAACCATATCAACTTTTTTACTTTCCAGTTGCATCCTTGGTTAGGGCGAGCTTTGTGCCTCAAACGAGTTCGGCTTTTCAATCTGGTTTATTGCCTACAATAATTATATTTTTATTTTAAAATAACTAAAATAATGTTGTTTTCGTTTAATTTAAACTCTTAACTTAGCTTCCAACCATCACGCTTAGAGCACATTACGCGGACGGAGGTATTGTGCGCCGCCCCGTGATTCAAAAGAATTCTTTTTCTTAAGTCAATAAGTGTGTCCAGCTATCCGTTTATAAAGGGCGATAGTATTGCTTTTAAAATTTGTGGTCAGAGACCAACCTTCAACCTGAATTTTACTAAACAATGGCAGTTTACTTTGTTGCATTTGGAGCGAGGACATTAGTGCCTTAAGTCGAAGGTCAAGCAGCAGAGGCATATGGCATAACCCGTTGAATACACAGCGCATACAACCTCCTTCTCCTGCCCCAAGACAGCTTATTTTAGCAGCATAATAAACGATTTAAAATCTGGGTCGCTGCCTATAACTTTGCTATAAAACGTAATTAATGTGCGGACGCCGCCTTTGGGCCGCGTTTTCTTTGTTGTAAGCGTATTGCTCGTTGCTGCGCTAACAGAAAGGTCTGAATGACGTCACCAGCTAGAGCGCGTTGAGATGAATCTGTAGATGTTGTCGTAGTAAAAGTAGTATTAGACTATTTACTGTTATCTAAAAATGTTTTTCATCTAAGTAAAACGACTTTGCATCGAAAGCAATGAATAAATATTTTAACTCTGAACAAGACATTAACTCTATATCCAAATCATGCAACTTAAAAAAAAAGGAATCTAAAAGAGATATATATGTTAAATTCTTGCCTTCTAAAGGAATTGCTGTTTTTTCAGATAAAACTTTCCGCCTTCTTTTATGCCACTGGGGGCAACGAACACTTCAGCTAAGGAAAACAAAGTATGAAACTTTTCACGACAATTTTTATTCGCTTCTTTATACTACCTGGGCGAGTCTGATAAATATAAGAGGAAACACTCCAGCAGATGCCATTCGTTATGAAGAAAAACAAATATGTAATGAAGTAGTACAATTAAAAATTTTTTGTAACTTTATATAAAACACGCTTGATGTCGTGAAGCAAAAAAAAACAGTCCTTTATGAGTTGAGACAGGCCCACTTGGAAGATTATTGGTGAAGACTATACCAAAATGTCTAAATAAAGTATACTTAATTTGAACGTAAGTTACACTGCATAGTTACGTAAAAAGGCGTCATATTTCATATTTTTCAGCTCTGACTTTAATATACAAGGCTATATATTTCGAAAACGTATAACGCTACCGTGCCAAGTGTTATTAAATAAATAAAAAGTACTTGTGGACAGCGTATTGTATGTTTGTGAAAAGGAACCTAATTAAAGTTTACATTCACGATACTCAGTATTCTGAAACTTTTAATTTCCAAGCTTAAAAGCAGCATCTCTATTAATTTTATAATACACCCTTTAAAAGCAGAACTCTATAAAAGATATATTTAACTAATGACGTTGAAAATTTGAAGAAGCAACTAACATGTACGCGTGATATACTATCTACTACATCATTTGTCCTCGTTTACAACAATCAGAGAAGCCCCAAGTAGAGTCGAATTTTTAAATGAATTTTATTCTTAAAACTATAAATATATTTTACTTAATCCCCTTACTGTCTTCAAACTTTTCGTTACCTAACGTCACTGTAAATAACCAATTTTTCCTTTACACACATACATATTCACGCAAAGTTTTACGATATACCCCAACTTATTACTCAATATATATTTTTAAAATCGGCAAGTTCTCTCCTGTTTTTTTAATTACAAATCCAGTATTAAAAAAGGCAAGCAAAAATAAAAGAAGTTTTGCGAAAAAGAACGTGGTACACAGGCTCTATAGGGTACTGCAAATACTATAAAGTTTACTAGCTAGTATGGGTCTTTAGTATACTCTCTCTTTTTTTTTCTGTAGCTTTATTACGTAAATACTAAAGTGACTTGGGAAAAAAACTATCCTTAAATATATTACAAGTCCTTTTTGGTATATGTTACTAACTTAACGTTCTTAACTTTTAATAAATTTCACTGCACGCCTGGCTCTTATAAGAACACGACGTTGAAAGTTAAACTCTAGTGCTATGAAAGGAAACCTATAAATCTACAAAAAGTGTACTTAGAGTGTACTAATGCTATACAAAGCAGTCCTTTTCTATTTTTAAGCTCTAATAATAATATTTTAGGGGTATAATAAATTTACTTTATATATTAATTAGTTATAGATAGTATAACATCTATTACATCTATTTAACTTTAAGTAGTAATTTTCTGTTTAAAACCATAATTATATAGCCGCAGATGTTTAAAGAGCGCCGGAGTAACACCAAGTTAGCTTGTTTTTTCAAAATAAAAGGCATAGTCTTTTAAGGAGCCCAGGAGATGTCTCACAGCCTTATAAAATCCTAGTCACACATTCAGACGCTGTCAAAAAAACCTTTACATTGAATACATAGCAATATCTTCGAAAAACAAGCCTTACAAGCTAAACCCTTCAAAAAGCAAAAAAAACAATTGTAGTATTTTTAAATTTAAATTCCACAGGGAGCTCCAGTCTGCACAAAAAAATAATGTGAAAATGCAACAAAGAGATGAAATAAAAGCTACAACTGCATTCTTAATAAAGCCTTTGATAGCAGTTATTAATATAAGTACTCTGTATTTGCTAAGCTGTACAGTAGTCAATACGATACACAAACAAAAACAATCTTTCAGGATAAATTAATTGCCTCTACAGGGATCTGGTGTAAAACTCAGGTTTAAAAAAAAAAGAATACGCGTTTACAATGTGAGGATATAAAAAATAGAAAAAAGTAGCAGCCAGCGCCCTCATCCTTTTTTTAGTAATCCCCATATTATAACGTAACTCGTTCATGATAAAAAAGGAAGAACAAAAAATACAGTAAATCTAAAGGATAGGCCGAGAGTAAAGAGCGTCGTTAATAATTAACGCAACCACATTATCCAACCACACCACAAAAATACCTTTTTCAAGGTGTTCAAAAATAACCTACTTTATACCATGCAGGTTGTTAAAAGTTATGCTAATTATATATTATATACTTACAATAACATTAAGAATAATTTCTACTATTTGCTTACATAATTAAATAACAGCAATTAATATAAAGCAGATAAGTAAACACCGAGCACGAAATATTATTTGTTTAGCCACTTACCTTCTCGGGTTTCCAACACGCCACAAGAATATCTTTTTTTGTACAACGACATACCAACTTTAATTTTGCATAAATATTTTCTAATGTTTATGTTTTGAGTAATAAAACCAGAATATTTTAAATATCGAATACAATTTCTTTTAGTTAAAATTCTCAGCTTGTAACTAAAGTAATATCTCACGTGTTAAAATTAAGTGACCCCAATCTGCTGAAGTAATTCACAAAAATAATTTCTTTCAAAAGGAATAAATATAGTTTGTTAATACACTTTACATTAAACATTATATCGTTTTCATAATATTAGGTTTTATTTCGAATGTGTTGTGCTACCCTCGCACGTGGTATAAAATACACTTAAACGATCAGTATGATACCAAATAAGACATACCTTATTAGCGGTTTACACGCTCACCGTGAGGGCCATATCTAGGAGGCTGTTCCTTCATTTTTTATTTTTATTTTTTTTATTAATGATAACTCCTGATGCTCGACGGGACAGAATACACAAAATCTAAGAGCTCTCAACAGGGTGATAGTATACACATTAGCTTTAATCTTTTGTTAAAGCAAACTCGTATATATATATTCCTTGAAAATAATTCGGTCCATAACCGCATTACATATTTAGTTCCATTACGTTGACGCGATAACGTGCACAGGTTCAATTTCGTAGTTGACCTCATCTGTCAATAATCGATTGGCGTGCTGATTACGTCGATCATAGGTGGTGATAGCATTGGGTCGAAAACGTTACCCAGAGGGTTAATCTGGAGATCTTGATGTAAGGCGTCGTTGGGAGAGAACCACGGCACGGTCGTGAAAAGGCGTAGCAGCTTGTTTTATCTCACTTGAAGCGAAGAGACTGTTTACGGTGAGTCGTAGTCCCAGGCAGTAGACGCGTACGTCATGATCGGTCGGATGCACAACAAATACAAGCGTCACCTCTTGTGCAGCGAAAGTTTGCCTAGGGGGTAAAGTAAGGCTAAAGGTTTTGAACCACCGCCTGGGCCTTCGCCACAGAGCGTATTGTCAACAATGACCCTATCTTCTTTTCAAAGGTCAGCGGTCTCAGAGGTGTAGTGCGCTTCTTATGTGGCTTTTCTCTTTTCAGCATTAATAGTAATTTTTTAAGACGATACCAATTTGCAAGCGCCACAAAGTAGTTCTGCAGACGCTAGCGCAGTAGGGCAGGCGACTTAAACGAGAAACAAATCGCCGTATCATCAGCATATAAGGCACTCCGCGTATGGGGTCCCCGGGGTATATGGCACATGTAGTACATAGAGTGCGAAGAATAGGGGTGAAAAAGTTTGTTTATGACCCTTAAGAGAAGCTGTACACATAAAATTTATTTATAATGCGCACGTGTCTTTTTCTGGAACTGCTAGTTCGCAAGTTGATACCAATATCACCCCAACTGCACAAATTGAAAAAAAAAAACATGAATTACCTAAAACTTAAATCAGAAATCACATTTTGGTTAATTACTGGCTAACTTTTTAGCTCGATTGATGACAAAAATTATTACAAATATTTTTAGCGCACACTTTTTGTAACTCGTTGAGCATTGGCAGGTGTTGCTCATTTTATATTACAATTTTTAATGTAGCTTTCATACGATTTTTCTTGTTAATCTTTACGTTAGTTTTACTTTTTCAATATTTTTGTTTACGCTTTGAGTAATATATTCCTATTAATGTCTTTAGGATTTTTTAAAAAAAAACTTCTTTTATGGAAGACATCGAAACAAAAAGTAAAGACTCTTTAGCTGGTAATTACGTTATTAATTAATATGGATTTCTACTATATTATCCTTTTTCTTTGAAGTTGTTCTATAACTTTAAAGAATCTAAGTTAATTTTTAGTAATATACCTTTTTCTTAAAATTGTTTAAAAAAATTAATTTAATTTAAATTAAGAACTTTAATAAGGGAATTTCTATTTATAAAACATTATTTGATTTTTTTTTTTTAACTTTAAATTTATACTAAAAATTTCTTTTTCATGCATATATACAATTTTTTTAATTACATTGCATAGAAATTTCTTTATTATTTTAACCTTTCTGTAGATGCTAAAGGGCCTCACCACAAAGGAAATGTTCTTTTAAGCATTGGATTGTATTTTTTTCTCTCCTACTTTTTTGAGCGACTTGGGTTTTTTCTCGTTCTCTCTTTCACTGTTTACTTGAAACTTTTGGGCTACGAAGGAGCACGGGCTGCTCAATTTTCTCAATTCTTTTGGACTTTAACAAGTTTAGCTTCACTGCTCCTCAGTTATTTAGCAGATTCCGTTTTTGGTATGTTCCCATATGTATGAAAGTAAGTAAATAAATTATTTTATAAAATTTATTAATATTTAATTAAATTTTTATATTTAATATTTTTTCTTATAAGGGTATTTATAACATTAACATTATTATATAATATATATTTTTTTAAGAAATTTTAAATTTTTTTGATTTGTTAATCCTTTGATTATTATACTTTTTTGTTGAATTTTAACATTTTTTGGCAACCTTAGTAAAGTTTTATATTATTATTCTTTTGGTTTTGAATGTTTAGCTTCATGGTCACCAATTTTTTGTAGTTTACTTTTTTGCTATATTTTTATATCTATAAAAGTAGATTAACTTGTTCTAGTTATTATTTTTTTCATTTTATTGTTTAATTATTAATTAAATTTTAAATTCTATTTTTAGTATTTTAAATAATGCATCAACTAGTTTATTTTAATATTGTATTATACTCTTTTTTTTTGTTCTAATAACAAACAGAACTCCGATTATATTACATATTCTAGGCCGCTTTCCTGTTTTACTTGGAAGTTTATTTATTGGAACCATTGGCTTTGGTAAGTTTTTTAAAATAAGATCCAATAGAATATACAAAATTTCAATTAATTAATTATAATTTCATAAATAAAATTTTATTTATTTATTATAATTTCGTATTTAGTAAAATAATAATTCACATTCAATCATGTATAACTTATTTTTGCTGCGAATCTATGAATTAGTAAGAAAGGGATATTAAAAATTAGTCACATGTCACTACTTTTTAATTAAATATTTCTGTGAATATAATGGACAAGAAAGTAAAAGGAATGAAACAATTATTATATTCACATCACTATTCAGGCTTTTTTAGGAGATTCTTTACTTAAATAAATAATGAAAAAGGATTAATTATCGATTGTTCATGCTATTAACAAAAAAAATCAATGAAAAATCTATAATTATAATGAAATGTAGCATTTGTTGTTTTGATTTACTTATATAGTAACAAAAAAGGAAATTTTTTTGACACGTGCTCTTTTTTATTAATGGCTCCCGTTGTCTTTTCTTCTGCTTGTTAAGCATGAAATTAAAGAATTTTTTTTTTCAGGACTGATTTCTCTTTCTTCTCATATAAATATCAGCAGCGCAATTCTCTTTTTTATTGGTAAAGTTATATAATAATAATAAGTAAATATTTAAAATAAATTAGAATATATGAATATATAATAAAATAGTTATAAAATAAAGGTATCTTAAATATTTACTACTGACAGATATTATTTATAGAGGAGAGTTTGAAATATGTTAATATCATGAATATATTTTTTATGTTTATATTTTTGTTTAAGAAAAAGTTAAATTTTAAATTGTTTAATATTTAAATGAAATAAATTCTAAATAACTAATTTTTTTATAATACTTTTTTATCTGAGATGAAGTTGGAATTTTTTTGTGTTTTAAAAAAATTTGTTTTGTATAACTTTAATATAATATTTTTTAGTTTATATTAATTTTAGGGTTAAAGAAATAAATATTTTCTGTATGTATAATTTTTTTAAAGTTATAGTAAATTTTTTGTATTATTTTTTTATTTTCTTTAATTTTTTATGCTTTATTTAAATTAAGTAGAAGTTATTATACTTAGGCGTTGTTATTAACGTATAACGATTAAAAAAATTATCCTAAATGAAAAAGAAATATATAAGTATTTTAAAATTTCAATTTATAATTTTTAAATAATTAAAAGAATAAATAAATAATGAAGAAATATATTAAGAATAAATATAAAAGCATTAAATGGTAACTACAAATAAAGAACTAATAATAAAGTATTGAGTGTTTATTTTTTTAATAGTTGATTAAAATATACTGTAAATAATAAAAATATTAACTAATAAAGAATTATTACTTAAATAAATAAGAAAAAATTTTAAACTAATAAAAAGTAAATAAAATATATATAAGAAAATAATGAATAATAAAAATAATTACTAATAAAGAATTATTATTGACTTACAAAATTTATAATATATAATAAAAAATATGTAAAATTCGAAAATATAAAATAATAAAATAAATAAAATATATAATACGAAAATAACTAAAAAAGTATAATAAGTAAATCACTTAAATAACAGGCTCTGTTATACTTGCTTTGGGCGCAGGAGGAGCCCGGCCAGTCCTAACAGTTTTAGGTTGCTTCTATTATTTTGTTAATATATATTATATAAAACTTTTTTTTTATATTTAAATTATTTTTTATTCTATTTTTTATATCTATATAAAATGTGTTTTTTATTTTATTATATTTAGGAGATATTGTCTTCTTTATTATTTATTTATTATTTTATTAGTTATTAATTTTTTATACATATATTTTTTATATTTTGTAACTATTTATAAAAGTATATTTATTTTTTTTAGGAGCTGATCAGTTTAATATTAAAGATAAGCGGCAAGCAGTGCATCAGAAGCATTACTTTCAGTATTTATACTTATTTGCAAACATTGCAGCTGCGCTTTCTTCAGGATTAATTGCTTTTTATGCTAATGGAGGTGCTTTTTTATAATAATAATATTCTATTATTTTAATGAATTTAAAAAAAATTATATTGAAAAAAATAGTGAAAGATTTAATAGTAATACATTTAATAAAAGTACTATTTACGAATATTATTAATAATATTGAGTAAATTATAAAAAGTTTATAAGTTTGTTACTACTTTTTAAGAAAAGTTGTTTGCTTAAAGTTTTTGTAATATAAAAAGATAATACACTTTTTTTTGTATATTAAAACAGTTTTGCTCGTAGAATATTATTTTGTAATAATATATATTCTACAAGTTTAAAAAAAAATTCAAGTAAATTATTATATACTTCATTATAGTAAATCATAAAATTATTATATTTACTTCTAAGAAATCGGGCCTCCTACAAAGAGAGCAAACTACTTCAATAGTTTTGTAATGTCCTCTGCATTTTACGCGGTTTCTCTGATCATCATCCTTTTAGGTAATTTTTTTAGTGAGACAACATTTAAAAAGTACACTTTTGCACATGCGGCATGTTATGTTAGAGCGCGTGGGTTTGTCTAGTGATGCCTCCACTTATCGGTTCTTATGATTATTTTATTAGGCAGATCACATGGCTTTCCCCCCTCTATTTCCATTGATTCTTATATTTTTTTTTAGAGGTCTCGTCATTCGTGTTTCACATTTTAGTTGGTTTGTTTTTTAATGTATTTTTTTCCGGGTTCACTACTTAAAAAAAACATTTTACTTTTATTCGTTACATGTTTGTAGTGAAAAAAACACCTACTCCATATGCCCTGCTATATAAATAACGTCACGTGCATCCACGTGGAATTTATCATGTTTAAAATGCGTGACTTTTTTCTGCTTATTTTGTAGCAAATGAGTTCAGACTATTTTCCAAAGTACCCAACTATAAACAATTCTATAATGATCCACAGCTGTATTAAAGTATCCAATAATGTTCGTATCTTTTATAGTTTCTCGGAAGCTTTACAAACCCGAACGCTCGGGCTCTGCTTTGACGAATTTCATTCGCGTTTGTTACTATTCGGCTTGCAGGAACATTTACGGCTTCTTTGTCTGCCTTGGCTTTATACTACAGTTTGTGAGTTTAGGTGGGTCATAAATATAATAATCATGTATACCACGAGTAACAATACTGCGATCAACAATTAGGACTCTCCCTTGTAAGCCTTTTTGTGAGCCACTTGGCCATTAACGGTATTGCATTGGCCTTCTCCTTCCTGGGACTTGCCTTCATGATTTTTCTCAACGATAACGGCTGGGTCCGCACTGCCTCAAATAGCGACCGTTTCAGCGACCAGTTCATTGCTGATTCGATGGCGCTGCTCAAAATATTGCCATATATAGCCTTTGCAGCCATGTTCTGGTGCGTCTATACCCAGATGTCGTCCACGTTTCTACTGCAGGGTTGCCAGATGAACACGATGAATTCTCTGAAGGCCACCCAGTTACCCATGATCAATAGCGTCGCCATCATAATTTTTGTGCCGATCTTTAATTCGCTGGTGTACCCGTTCCTGGAACGTAAGGGCTACCCAACCTCGCCTCTCCAGCGCATCGGTGCCGGTCTTCTCCTAGCATCCCTGACCATGCTTGTCTCTGGCATCGTGGAGGTCTACCGTCTCCGCAGTCCTCCTAGCATTAACAAAGAAAGCTGTTCTGATTTAGAAGAGTTTAAAAAGACGTTTGAGAGCAGCATGAGCATACTAGCCGCTCTGCCACAGCTCGTACTTGGTGGCCTCTCGGAAATCCTCGCCGCCATTACCTTCAGTGACTTTTACTATGTGGAGGTTCCCGAGAACGTGCGGTCGGTGAGCCAGGCCCTTAGTTTGCTGGCCATTTCTTTTGGAGCTGTTATTAATTCGAATCTTATTAAAGTCAGCGAGGGAACTCTTATCAAGGATGATTTAAATACAGGGAACTTGGATACCTTTTTCTTTATTATCTTTGGTCTAGGCATGCTCAACTTCTTGATTTTTATAATGGTTTCGAGGCGCTATGTGTATACTTCTCCACCCCTAGCGCCTGCAAAAATAAATGAAAAATAAATGAATAGTATGTTTGTGTATTAATATTTCATTACTTTTAATTCATTTTAATTTCACAATATGTTTATAATTATTATCGATGACTAATATTGTAACAAGCTTAAGTTTGCTTCACTAAACACAAGTATTTAACAAAATAACAACTTTTGGTTATAGAGCAATTTATACGCCTTCTTTTTTAAAGTTTAAACACTATAGTTACGTTTAAATGTAGTTAAAAATTATTTATTAAAAGTGTCAAAAAGAGTTTACTATCAAATAGTAAAACCTTTTTGGTGAGCTAATAGTCGCATACTATAACCAGATCATTAGGGTGCATAATAATAAAACAAATTTGCATTAGGTGGGCAATTACGCTTTTTTAATGCGTATTTGTGTTAAATATAACGACTTTATGGATGTTACCTTGAGTTATCACATTTTTTACCAGTTAGCTTCGCTCTCCACAACGCATAGTTGTTGCTATAAAGAAAGGGGACTACCTGGCTTTGGAGTAGCCCTCCCTCGTTGGATCCCTTTAATAAAGATATATTAATTCGTGAATATAAAAATAAAGGCTGAGTTTCTCTCGCCGGTGTTTAATATTTTCACTGTTAAATCAGATTCTCATATCTTGAACGACTTTAGCGCTTATAATAAACACGTACTGTCTATAAAGTTTTTTATTAAGTGTTTGAACGTATAATGTTGTATATTTGTATACAACTTTGAATTACTTTAATTTGATTGGAGGTCACTATTAATATCTACCTTCTTTCCACGATTCAGCAAGTAGTCCTAAGCCAAGTTAAAAAACGAGTTACTAATCAGAATAATTTAGTGTTTTTTGTTAACAGGCTTGGTTTATTGTTCTTTTCTCACAATAATTTGGCATTTTTATGAAAATTATATTGTAATTATTAAATATTTATATAGCTTTTCCATTAAAAATTTTTTTTCTCAGAATCTTTATGATACCGCTTAAAAGGGTAACACTGGTAAGCCCTTTTTGTCCAACTTTTAACTGTTAAACGCCCTTAGAACTGAGCGTAGTATGCCAGTAAAAAAAAAAAAGAATTTATAAGCATAAAAAGTGAATTATTTAATATAGAATACCTTGTATATAACGGCTATACAAAATTTAAAAGTTGTTTGTATAGAATACTCTGAATATACCTTGAATTAAGTATAAAAGTGAGTGAAAAAATTCCATTAAGTTTACACTTCAAAACTTGAATGGGAAATTATACTTTACATAAAGACTTTTTTTTACCAGCTTCCATGAATTTTCGGCTCTAGCTTCAAACTTTTATGCTTTAATTTGGGTATTTTTTAAAATTAATAAATGAACGAAATTCGTGTTTTTTGAGTATTTGAGTTATAGCCATAATAACGCACTCATCTAAAAAAGGTACTATAAATTATTTATTATTACAAACGGATAAATCATTGTACTTATCAATGAATGCTTGGAAACCTTTTTGTTACAAAAAAGGGCTCCTCTCCGATAACTATTGATATAATGTTTATTTTTCAACTAGTAAATTACTTACCTTACCGGAGAAAATCATCAGACACTTTAAGTAACTACTACTTCGTACCGCATACAGGGTTGTGAATACCACCCCTCTCCATGTTATTAGTGCTACAGCGGGCCAGTGGAATTCGCCAGAGTGAGCAGCTGAAAAGAAGCCAATTCATTTGGAGACAATGCCATAATAAGAAATATATATGTTTATTAATGAAAATAAAAGTAAGTGCTAAGACACATATTTGCAATGGCATACTATGATTGTTAATTAACGTTCCGTTACCGATTAATATATGTTTCCCACTAAAGAAGAAAGCTTAGAACCACGGAGTGTACCCGAGTTCTAAACCCGAGGTATTTTAGAGACCGCGACGCCCTAACCCAGGCCCCCATTTACGTTAAAAACCACCACTTGTATAAGTGACCTGGGATACTAGGTCCAAGGCTTGTTAGAAATCACAGCTAGCACTGCTTGCTAAGCCTCCCCAGTCATTAGCTCTTTGCCTAAGGAAGGGACGAATTTTAATCAAGAAAAATATGTTGGAGTTAACTTTGATAAATCACTAGCCCCCACCGTGTGTTGCCCTTATATCATATGCCATTCTACTACATGTCTGTATCACATGTCATTTTTACGTGTTATATACTACGTTTGTGTTTCTTCCTTCGAAGCGTGAATATCTCTACGGGGGTGACCGTTCCTCCTCTTTTTCTCCGTCAAAATGTAACAAGTTAAATACGGTAATTCTCATACTGAGAAGATTTGGGTAGCTTAGTTTTTAAGAACATTGATGCCTAAACTTAAGAACGTGAAATTAATTCCCATCAACGCCAGCTCTCTTCTCAACCTTAGATGGTTGAGCGTTATAAATTGCCCCCAAAAGTTGTTAAAGTAAAATTTACATTCATGGCCTCGTGTAAGGTTCTTTATACCGTCTAGAGTGCTATTTTATACTATATGCCCAAGTGATATAGTATTCACTAAATTGGGGTCTGCATATATAGCATCCAGAAAAGACACTACCAATACATGAATAATGAACTATGTATACAGACCCTGTGCAACATTAGAAAAAAAGTCAGGGCTGAGACTGGCATACCAAAAAGACGTTATGGCTAAGGTAGTCTTTTTGACAAACAAATTTTCTCACAATATAGAACATGTTCCTAACCACATTTTCGGAATCAAAAAAAAAAATTACAGTCCCTAGTTCATGACCCGCAATACAATAATTTCTTCGCACCAACGAGAGCGAATTGTTTTTAATTCTACCCACAGGGCGGTTGAAAAGTACGAATTTTAATAAACGAGCATTTGGAAGAGTTACCATATACGAAAATAGCCTGCTTTGAGGAACAGATCCCTTGAAACCCAATGATCTGGGTATTGAAATGAAATGAAAACCATTGGCAAAAGAAAAATATCAAACCATTGTAATAATTCCTTTGTATTAATAAAATATTTACTGTGTTTTTCGACATCACAAAGTTATCTTCCTACCCTACCCTGGACGTTTAGCCTTATTTCGTCCTAGATTTTAAGGCCTATAACTGTCACTTTAACAATAACTCTAGACCAACGGCAAGCTACGACTATTAAAAGGCGCAGAGTTTGGCGAGCGTTAAGAAAGAAAGAAATTGCGGAGCAAAAGAAATTGTAAGAACGCACTTGTCTCATGAAACATATAGTGATATTAAGTGTACAGCTACTTAACTAAAGGCAATTAACAGTAGTATAACTTTTTTATAACTATATTGCAAATACGTTTGTGTAAGATATTTAATTTCTAAACAACTATCATCATCCTAATAATTTGTCATAAACACTACAACAAATCAGTTAAACCATCCTATAGCCTTAAAATAAACATTCTTTCCCACAAAACAAATAAAGAGAAAATGAACATATTAATTAACAATATTAACAACTTCAATGTAAAAAATACAAATTTAATAGGGACAAAATTATATGGAGATAGTGGGTAGGTCTAAGGAGTCTTACCCGTCATTTTAGGTTTTCACCAGACCAATAAGTAGATCGCCCACCTTAAGGAGGCAAAAACCTTATGTTAGATATTAAATCCTAATGCTCTCACGTTGACATATGATCTTCTAGAGTACCTTACTATTAATTAGCTTAAGGGGAAGCAGGGCTCCGCATCAGAGCAAGTAACCATTAATTCGTTGAATTTCCTATAATATTAAAAATAGAAACTCGCCTTGGGGAGCAGGTGAGATGTTTAAATTCGTTTTCTTTTATATATAAGAAATTCTTTTTACTTACCTTTGGGAGAAAGGAGTAACAATCCCAGGGGGGCGCATTGGGCCTACATTGTTAGATTTCCACTCGGCAAAAAGCATTTATTAGTTAAGGTATCAAACATTACATTAACTGCATAGAGGGCTTACAGGTCATAGACAATAACACAACCAAGTTAACTGATGACATCTCGACAAGACAATAAGAAACAAATTTCATGCCACAAAAAAATAAAACCTTAGAAGAACCAAGAAACCAAATAAAAATAGCAAAGAATGTTATAGTGGGGAGCCATGAAATAAAAATTAGACCCCACGGATGAGCATAGCACCCAACTTAATCACATAAGTCGGATAAACATTAAAGGACATTATCAAATAGATAGAGCGAGCGAAAGCAAACAAACTGTCGACCTATAAATATTATAAACAACCTATTTCTCCCAAATTAAGCCCATTAGACACGAAATAACATTACGCACTAAGCAGTGTCCATCTGAATGCGAGAAAAAAATGATAATAATCGTAGATTACGCAAAGCAAAAAGTATTGTTCATTTTTCTAATATGGCGAGAATGAAGACTTCAGCGTGGAGGAAACATTAATATGGTAGTAGTGACGTGCTCCCTTTGCTACTAACTTAAATTAAAGAAACAAGGAACCCGACTGCTAGGATTACTTAAAATAGTTTTTTAATCACAGAAAGAAGTAGGCATGGGCTAATTTGTAATATACACCACCGTTATGGATAAAAGATTCCTTCAAGTCCCCAATCGCAGTAACCTAAAGGAAAGGTTTATAATTAGTTTAGCCGACATCACTATAGCCTTATTTCATTTTTAACTAAACCATGACCCCTTAACTTTAATTGCAATAACTTAAATGAAAGATTTATAATTAATTTAGCTGACATCACTCTAGCCTTTCTCCACTTTAAATTTATTTACATACAAATCCCTTAGTGAATGCACCTAATATGAAACAAACTAAAGCCAGAGAAAAGTGACCCCCAATCAACGCTACTGGGGGTTAAAAGAATTTTTTGAGATTGTCGTCGCAATCTATACACTTAAAAATAACCGGCAAAGCTATTTTATATAATATCTACTACGACTCTTATATTTAACCATATAATTTAATTAGTTGAAAGAATAAGATTATTTTAAGTAACGTATACAAACGCTATATTATTGGTTATAAAACTAAAATTAACTATAAAATAGATTTCACTTAGCAAACAGAAAGGATACAGCGAGTCGACATCTTACGATACAGTGAAGGTAAAAACCTGAACCGAAACTAAATTGTTACAATATTAGGAGACACTGTATCGATCCTGAAAAAAGCTTGGATTTCAATGGAAACCAATGCAAAGACGGAGTTGCCAGTTATGGAATGAACAAACAATTTGCTAGACTGTTCAACCAAGGATGCCTCCCTCTTTCTCCCCAGCATCAAGGACTTTTAATTATACTCTAAGAAAAGGCGTAGCAAAGAGTACTTATAAAATAAAATACCACTTAATTTTTTTATAAGTGCCTACGTATGATAAAAAAAAGTAGACACAATCAACAAAAATTAAAATTTATGGAAAGCAATATTGACAAAAGCAAGAGGCACAAAGCTACCTGCAAGTCTGAGTAGTACCCTTATGCAAGGCCATCTTAAGAACTTAGAGCTCTTAAAGATTTTAAAGAGAAATTATGTTAGCGAAAAACAAGCCTTCCTATCCATCTATAACTAGCCTGTGAGCAACATGAATAATGGCTATCTCCTAGAAATAGAGTTGAGACATAAAGGGGGATTAAAAACTCGAACTGAAAGATAAGATATACACTGCAACCAGAACAAAGTGGTCAGAATTACGCCGAAGAATCCGATAAAGTTACTTAATCCATTAATTCTAGGTCGTATTCAAAAGGTTAAACTGTAATAACTGCAACTAAATGTAAATATTAGGCGGAAGGAAAGTCAGTTAAAAGGGTGACTTACAGCCAGACTGGAGCACTTAACCTGACCGTATATTCTTGGAACTTTTCAAGCATCAAATATTCTTAAATGTAGTTTTTCACCCGTTATAACCTTACTTCATTACTATCTATTTAAACCTTACAATTGATGGCATAATTAGAGTTAAGCTTTTTATTAATCCAGTTTAGATAGGTCATATTAGTATATAGATTTTAACTAATTAATTTATATATAATGAGCGCGCTTTAGTAAATAAAGCGTTCGATTGTGGCCTAACTATTTATTTTCCGCAAAAAATAAAATAATATACCGAGGAGACAAAAGATTTAAAATCACCCTTTATAGTAATTTTTTTTGCCTTTATTATTATATAAGCTTGTAATAAAGTTTCTCCTTCAAGTTAGAAGTCAAAAACAACTTCTTTACACTTCTACCTTTTAGTATTCCTAAACGCAAGTTCACAAAATAACTCAGACTTGATTGATGCGAAATCCCAAAAATTTTAAAATTATTAAAAACTTTTCACCACCCTAATTTTGAAAGACTAGCAAGAGGCCCTATCGAAAAAGTTTAAATTCATCCATTACCATAATTAGCTTTCTAATTAGTTCGCTTCGAAAGCAATAATTAATTAAACGTAACTATTTCACCTTAACTAATTGATTTTCTACCCCTCTCAAGGGTGGGCTACTCATCTTCTGGCGTGGTGGTAAAATAAGCGAACATAGAATCAAAAGTAAGCAATCCATTATTAGAGCGTGGAGCTACCGGTTGAGGTGGTATGTGTAATCTCGAAGAACCGATTCTCCTAACATTAAGGTAAACGCCCACTTGGTAAGTGGGAGGTACATTTAAAGGAAATGATGTAGACTGCAAGATAGGAAGCGACATGTCTATCTTCGTCTCTGGCATATCTAATGATACAGTAATTGATTCTTACTTAACTTCCGTGGTATATAAAAATTGCTGCAAACGAAGCATTTCTGTTAAACCAACTAACTAAAATAATTTGTTTAATTAATTTCTTTTTTAGGCCTGCAGTTTATTGTAGCCAACTATCAATAAAGTTTTAACTTCTAAACTAAAATAACTACCATATTTACTCACACTATAGCATTTAGCTTACTTTGACTTAAATTATCTGACTTGAGTAACTCTCTCTCCTCGTTTCGGATTTAAATAAAATAAACAATATTAATTGATGAGAAATATACACCCCTACAGATCGAGGTTCCTAACACAATAAAACAGAAAATGCACTTACGCAAACAAGGCAAAACCGTGTCCTTCTATAACTAAATATTAATGTTCGATAATATTTATCAAATGGAATCACTATAGATTAGCTGTATCCAAATAAAATAAGAGTTTGAAATTAATTAAAAAAAAGTCATTGGTAATTCTTTGTTTTATAAAAAGAGGTTACTTCACAAACAAGTTTTAATATTAATGGCAAGCTATTATGTTAATTTTAAAAAGGTTACATGATTAAACAGCTCATGGGCGGCTTTGAAGGTTCTTCTGTCTCTAAGTATATAGTAATTTTATTTAGCATTATATTAATTCTTTCATAGGTGGCTATAAGGATGGTAGATATCTATAAGCTTAGCGTATTTATTATGTTATTAATTTAAAAACTTTTAATAGTTAATAATTTTCTTTTTGAAAAGTGTTCTCTGCTATAATTGAAGTGTTGTACCAATCGATGTGACAATATTGTAATAAAACTTTTGAATTTAACAAGATAATATAATCCTTCTTGGTTGTTATCACTTCTTCAGTTGGTGAAAAAAAGCAGTACAAAACAATGTAGACTAGTTTCCCAGTACAGTAATCTTTTATGTTTATTGCGGATTGTGGTTATTTACTGTTTATTTATTACTTCAGTTGCCAATAAAAGATTTTTATAGGACTTAAATCTTTTCAAGTTTTCATTAGTTAATAGATTTCAGTACGAGATTAGAAAAACTTGGAAGTTGACACGAGAATTTTATTTAAAAAAAGTTTAACCAAGTATTTTTAGGATATTAAGTTTTTTTACTCGGGGGTCGGTTAAAACAGCATGATGTAAATTTAGAACCTGCAGATTACAAGAAAAACAGCCGACGTAGCAGGGCATAACAGAGGCAAAAATTAATTTGCAAAGTTTTATCATATTTGCTTCAGTGTTCAGTGTTGTTGGTAAAATGATGAGTGAGCAATTTAAACATTAAATTATTAATTTTGATATTTCAAGCCCTTCATAGCGATGCATTATTATATACGAGTGTTTGTTGCTATGTTATTAATATGTTCTTTATGTTATTGTTTGTATCTCGACTGGTTCTATAAATAATCTACCTTAGAATCAGTGGACCTTTTAACTAATACAGATTTTCTTAATATGTTTTATGCTCTTGCAATTTAATGGTAGCACATAACCTAAAACTCTCATATCGGAAGATTAGTAACTAGATGAAATGACCTAATATCCGTTATTGCTACCGTAATTATGTTAGCTTCCACTAAGCCTGTTCTTGGAAGAATTTTAAGTTTTATATGACAAATATACCTACATATACTATAGAAATGTTTACTAGGTCAGACCATCTTTCCATTCTCTGAAGCTTTAATATAAAATCTAAAAATTAGGTTGCCCACTACTTGAGGCAAACTGAACGTCATCTTTCATGTAGACCGTCACATATTTATAAATTTCTTATAGCTACTTAAAATGAAATTATACTACAACAAGTTTAGAAGAGCAAGGTGGTATAAGGGCTCCATATGGTTTTCACAGGAAATAATAAGCTTTTAAACGAGTGTCTAGCCTGGAATCGTTACGCAATTACGCATGTAACATTAAAAAATATTGAGCGTTGACCTTCTTTAACAGATTCTACAGTACTGATAAATAAGCAAGTATTTAAGTTTACATTGCTTATTTAAATAATTTGCAAAGAAAGCAAAAACATTTCCCTTATGATTTATCTAAGTTAAATTTTAGCTTCTTTTGGCACCTTCTTATGGGTGGCTAGCCTTAAAAGAGAAGTTTAATTTTTGAATGGAGAATAACGGATCGCTTTCAATTTCGTTTTTATCGTTATGATCCGTAGCTGATGATCATTTGTAATTGTCTTATTGTTTTCTTAATATAAGTTAATTTATAGTTTAGGTTGAGACAACCGCTTTATACTTTCGGCTCAATTATATGTTCATATGAGCACAACAAGATACCTTTGTTAAAGGATTTTCTTTATGTAATAATAAGGCAAAAAGGACGCACACCATAAATTTTTATAACTATTATAAAGGCTAGAAATGTTTAATACCTAATATTTTGGCGAAAAGCTATAACTGTTGTTCTTAGCGAGGTGTTTTAAAATAGTAAAGCTAAATTCTAGGGTAGTAAAATTTTAGTTATCTTTGAAATATCTTTGGAAGAGGCCGAGGAAATATCACCAGATTTAACAACATTAAAATTATACTAAATTTTTACTATATAATTTTTTTAAAACATAAATGGTGGCAGTATTTTAAGTAAGAAATAAGAATACCACATTTCAAGTAGTGTAATATACCTCAACTAAAGAACAAAGTTTTGGCGTAGAAAACTTGCTATGTAGCCTTTTTTAGAAAAAAGTTATTGAACTGTTATTTCAGAAAAAGATTATTTTCTCCATCGACAAAGATCTGATAGGCCTCCGCATCTTCTTATAACAACATTTTCTTTTGTTGTACTGAACAATATCGTCATAAGCACCGGAATAACTTGCTAATTTAAAAAATTCTTCTTCTCAGATGTTTTTCATATTAATACTAGAAAAGGCAAAAGAAACAATTTTTTTTATTTAAGAATATAGAAACTTTACAAGCTCCTCTTACCAACTAATAGAGGGTGCCGAAATTGGTAACTTTTGTATAATAAAACGCATAATCGGCCAGTTTTCCTTATGGAAAGTACCACTACAGTTGCAGGCAATTCTCCAGCGGACTCTTCCCCCTGGATACCACATTCTATATTCCTTTCCTGCTTGAGTTTTTCAAATTGCTTTCTTTATTTTTCTAATTTAAATTATATAATTATAAAGTATCTGGAATGCACGGGTAACTTTACTCAATATTAACAATTGAATATTTTACCTAAAAACAGCACACATTATTCTTTAAAAACCAATTTACAAAACACTTTCTGTAATTTTGCTAAATGGGAGCCTTTTTTTCAAGTTTAAGTCGCCAGTCCTCTACTGAAAGAAAAAAAATAACCATTAACTTTATTGGTTCTAATTTATATAATGTTTAACTTTATCCCACTGCTTTTCTTACTATGGATTAACCTTTTTAATTTATTTGCTTTGTTAAAAAGACCCTGTCACCACCGAAAAAGAGGAGTCAGCGTGCCATGAATTATCAGAAATAATAAAATCTTTAAGTTCAACTTTAGAGAAACTTGAAAATTTTAAAGGATGTGAAGATGGTCTATTTTTTTCTTTAGTTTTTTAATTTATTGAGGTCGTCGTTTAGCTTTTTAATATTTTTTTAGATCTTATTGAAACGGCTTTTTACTTATATTAATAATCTTTATTATTATCGTTCTTACTTTAAAAAATATATACAAAATAAATTTACATCTTTCGTATACCAATAATCGATCATAATTTCACCTTGACTTAATTGAATCAACTATTTGTTTTGTAACAACAAGAATTTAAATTTATTTAGTTTGTATATCGCTTAAAACTTTTTAACGGATTTGACATTAAAATTTTATATTTCTGTTTTTCATTTCCTTTGCGTTTATATTTTTGCCCCACGACCATTAATTATATAATTTGGTTAAGAAGTCTATAAAATAATAATAATTTTTTTGCGAATCTAAAATTTTACTTTAAATTTCCTTATACTTCAGAATAATTTCTTTTAATTAAGAGTAAATTTATTTTAACTATTTGATTTTTTAAAAAAAGTTTCAAAATATTTATAGACTAAAATTATTTTTAAAAAAATTGAAACAAGATTATATTTTTTTTAAAATTTTTAATATTAATTTTATCTAAATGTATAATTTTTTAATTAGAAATTAAATCTACTATTACAAATCCTCAAAATCCCGACTACCAAAAAGCCGCGTGGGATGCCCTCTCGTCTAGAGTTTCCCTATTAAAAGAATTATATGAATTTACCCGAAAAACAGGCAACTGCTATAAATCTTTTTATATATCATTTTATAATATATACAAAATTTTTCATCTTTATTCACTTCACCAATTTCTCATATATTATCTTCATGATTTCCAGTATATGATCTACTTATTAGTAAAAATAACAAGTTTTAATCTTAAATCTGTTAAAGATTTCTATTGGCAAATTTTAATTTAGTTATTTTTTTTTTATTTATGTATTATTTGACTTTATATATAATTTTTATTTTTTTACCAATTTATAGACAACTTTTTATTATCATTACTAATCAGCTTATAAATTATATATAAAAATGTGCAAATATGATTGCTATTGTAATAATAAAAAAATTATGATTTACAAAATTGATTTATTGAGTTTAATATTTTATTAGAAGATTTTTTTAATTTATATTAATATTTTTTCAGATTTTAATTTATTTATAAAAAACTTTTTAATAATATGTATAATTTTTATTAAAGCTCTCTTTTTTTAAATTTTACTCATCTAAATTTTTAATTATAAATTTTGAATCAAAGTAAATTTTCCTTTTCTTTTTTTTTTCGTTCATAATAAATTTATATACTTTTTTAAAATTATAAATCAGGCCAAAGTTTTGTTAATCTTTTGGGGGTCCTCGCTAGTGAGAGTCGTGGCTGTTGCTATGAGACGCTCAAGGAAAAGCAGGCCACCTGCAAATGCTTAGCGGATCTTTTAAATTTTACTTCGCGTTTTGACGAACTGCGCACAAAAACTTCTTCTATTCAAAATATATTTCCGTTTTACCGCCGTTTATTGCAAAGATATCAAGATGAAGAGGTTTTCTTATTTTTCATAATTTATTATTTTTCAAATTCTTCGGATTATTTTAGTAGAGGAGGTTTAATAAACTTTTTATGTTAAGGTCTATAAAAAATATAATAAAACATTTATTGTATAATACTTTTTAGGATCAGCGATTACAAAAGTCTAAAAAAAATATAATTTCAGTTTTTTTAAAAATTACTTTTAGATTTATTAAATATTAAGGAAGTATTAAAAACTTATTAAACTTTTTTACTTATTATTATTAGTATCTTCAGAATTAAAAAAAAAGTAAAGAAAAATATATTTAACTTTTTTTTGTGCCGCTTGGTTTTGGCATTTTTTATTGGGTAGAGAGAGCACGGGGTCACTGTTAGCCAATCAGGTGTATAGTTAGGTTTACATGTGCGTACCTGGCGAATGAAAGCGCTAAATGCTAACGACGCGAGCTGTGTATTATAAAAAATACTAATAATAATATTTATATAGTATTATTATTATGTTTTCTTCATTATTATTTACAGTTAAAGTAAAATATTTACAATCCTCTTAAGTAAATGCAATGCTTATTTATTATCTTTTTTCTACATTGCACACTTTCCTAACTAGTTGGAAGTGAATGACGAACTTGCTAGCGAAATGTCGCTTTTCTTTGCTTCTTCTTTCCCTGCTCTTTTGGTTATTATAGAAATGACGTCCGATTATTTAAAAAAGGTAAGAAAATTTTGTTTTATAAATTTACAAAAGCTATTAGTTTTTTTAAGTGTTCTTGTATTGAATATTTTACTTATTATTATATTATTATCGCTTTTGTTATCATTTTTTATATGTGAAAAAAAGCAACTTGTATACTTTAAATATTTTATAAAATTGTAAAAAGTTTATAAAAAGTGTTAAAGTTTCCTTTTAGTTTTCGTAAAAATAATTTTATATTATTATTATATCATTGCTTTTGTTAGTATTATTTATTAGAAAAAAAAATTAACTTTTATAATAAATTTAATTTACTTTTAACTATTTTTAGAATTATTTTACTGTTATATTAATATTATATATTATTATAAATCTTTTATGAAACATTTTTAATTTTTTTTAATATTTTTTACAATAAAAGTTATTCTATTCTACTATAAAAAATAGAATATTTAATTATTATTTTTTTGTGTTTTTATTTATTTTTAATAAAAGTTTTAAAGCATAAGCTCTTGTGCGATTGGTGCTTTGCAAGAGCGCTTTTATAAAAAACTTTGGCTTGTACATATTCAAAAGTAATAATAATAATTATAATAATAAGTTTTATTTTTTGTATATTTAAATTATATTTTACTCGACTTTTATAGGAAGAAAATAAAACAGATTTAATATTAAATCTTATATTAGCTTTGGCTTCAGTTTGTAAGGATACGCTTGACACCCCGTTAGTTTTATTTATTATTATTATTATTATTATTATTATTATTATTATTATTATTATTATTATTATTATTATTATTATTATTATTATTATTATTATTATTATTATTATTATTATTATTATTATTATTATTATTATTATTATTATTATTATTATTATTATTTTAATATTATTTAAACTTTCAGGAATTGCCTTGAAAAGCTTAAGTCCAGCAATAAAGATGAGCTTATTTTACGCGCTATGGTGGAATCGACTGTAGTTTACGACCATCTCTCTCCCGCTGGAGCCTTTTGCAAGAAGTCGGCCTTCCCGGTAGCTGCTATACTAAAAATGATGATAATAATATCCAATAATAACCGATTATTAATATATAAACACCAATAGATGAGGCCAGTTATTCAAACCGTTAAAAATTTTTCACAAGAATCAGTCTCTAAAGTTATTATCGTTATTATTATTAATATTGTTAATAATATTATTGTTATCAGGAACTTTTAGGAGTACTACAACATCGTTCGAAACACTTCAACGATCCGGACACTCCAAGACATCTCCAACTATTGATTAAATAATTAAATAAAAAAATTTAGAATTATTATAAATATATTTATTAAATACAATGAAATAAAATTGAATAATACTTCTCATTTTTATAGCACATTCATTGTTTGAGCAATAAAATGATTTCTATTAAAATTATTATAAATTTCTTTTGCCGAAGCTTTCATGCTTATTTTTAGTAAAGCGTGGCTAAAACTTAGTCTAAAATTTTTAAGTGTAGTTTGTAGGAAGAGAGCCTTTTTTTTTACACAAAATATAGAAAATTGTGGCTTAAAGGCAATTAGTGAAGGAACGGCACTAAGTCGTTTGAACGAGTTAATAAAAAAGATCTCAAATTTTTGTTTTTCTTTTCCATGAAGAACAGAAGTAACTTTTCTAAGCGACTTATCACTAAAAAGTTTATACTACGCGAAAAATAAAAAGTAAAGCCTAAAAATCAAATGAGTTTCGCTTTACAAAAATTTTTCTAAACTAAATGTGTACCAATTTAAAAAAAACATCTTTTAGCTTGGAAAATGTTCACCCCACGATACGCACAGTTTTGGGTTACACCTGTATAGCACTACTTATATCAAACCGATTGAAAAAATATTTTGAAGTTTATCAAAAAGAGAGATTTTTATGAATAGAAAGTTAGTAGCCCTTTCGAAAAGGTTTATTATGAACTTTTTCTGGTATGGTTCCTTAAAAAACTATGACGACGCTAAAACATGGCCAAGAATATTCTACAGGCCATATTTTGGTGTCGTAATTTTTTTTAAAAATAAAAAAGTTTAGTTTTTATAAAGATTGGAAACTATTTTCGCTTTGAAATGCTATAAAGTATTCTAGTAAAGACTAAATAGTTAAAAGACTGGACGATAAAGTGTCTATTTAAAGCTCAGAGCTCGATGTCTTTTTTTAGAAGTGGGTAGAGAAGTAAATTCGGCTGTAGTATAACGATGACAGAGTAAAAGAATAGGTTTATTAAAAGTATTTTTGGAATGAGAAAAGAATATAGCCTACAGAGGCTCCAACACATATATAATATACTCCAATAATTTAAGACTACACTAGTCTAGACTTAGGTCAAAGAAAAGCTTTGTAGCACTCTTCAAAGTATTTTATTGAAACATCTTAAATCTGTTTAACTAACTTATACAAGCTGGCAACCAAAGCATTGTAACTTTTTGGTACCCACATATTAGTGTAAACATACGCTTATCATTTGAACTTTTTTGTAGCAAAGCCAGGACCTAAGGTGTTGTGATGAAGAATTGAAAGGCAAGTCTAGAGTAATAGGAAAACACTTTTTTACACTTGCAGTATTTACGTTATTTTATTAATTCCGTAGACCAATTCTACACTGGAATTATAATATTATAAGCCGTGCACAACTAAACAAGACCGGAGCTAGCACGTAACTAAAAATGTTTCTAAGATTAATTGTGGAAATAATAACCATGCACGAAGAGTTTAGATAATACAACTTGACGCTTATCGAACGCAAAAGTTAGCCAAAGTTTATGTTCCATTGGAGGAGAGTTGATTATTTCGCATTTATTTTCCGGAGTTGCCAAAAGCTAAGTTAAAATTCCTATCTATAATATAGCGAGAAAACTTTCTTAATGCATTCGCATCTTGTCCACTAATGGTTTGGCTATATGAACTATTTATTTCCTAATTTATGTAATATATTCAAGGTCCTTTTGTCAAAATAAAAAAATTTTATACTATATATTAATTTTCGGGTAATTTTTTAACACTTGTTCTATCGCTTTAGGCCTCGAGCACTCGAAGATAGTAAAACTACAATACAACAGTTTAGCAAACATCTAAAGGACTTTTTAACGCTAATAGTACAAGTTATTAATACTGTAGAAAAAAGAGTAACTTTTTGACAAGCATTAGAGCCTAAGTCACCGCTAACTTGGCAAATCTAACAGGCACGAAGATTTTTAAAGATATGGTAATCCCCAGCGAGATCTTCCTAAATTTTATTATTAAAAGTATTAGTAGCAGAGTTGAGCTGCCTACCCTAATAAAATGTCCGTTTTTAAGAATTTTCCCAAATACAAAAAGAGTGCTTATTAACTACTATTTGTGCGGCCGGCTTTTCGACGTGGCGAAATATCTAACAGGAATGAAAATAAATTTAATTATAGTAAACGTTTTCTTCAAAAGCCTCTATGATAATAACTTTTTTAGGAGTCGAGTTGTTGCCTACTAATAGTACACTACCGTAAGTTTTCTTATTATAAAAATAAACGAAATGCTTAAGGTAAAAGAAACGTACCTATATTCGTTTCATATTAGAATGAGAAGCAACTTTGTGTATCTAATATACTTAGGTAAAAAAACTTCCGGGCTTACATACTATTTCTAAAGTAAAAAGTTAGAACTACTCGAAAAATGTATAGTTAAAACTTAATTGTGATTAAGTTAAAGCTAGTGGAATGCACTATATAAAAATAATTTTTTTTTCAAAACTATACCCCCTTATGTGAATAATATTAAATAATTTATTTGTTTTCATTTTGAAAACAAGCTAAAATATGTTATCGTTATGGACTATTTAGGGTTCCCTAATGATTTGGGCCCAAAGTTTTAATATTATATTAAATTTCTTAATACAGTTAATTTAATAAATAAGAAATTACAATCAATAAGGTTTTTAAATTAAGAGGTAAAATGTTGATAATTTTAAATCAATTACGTTCATAATTATAAAAATCTTTTGCCACTATAACACCTTAAGATACTTGCCTGCGCTTATAATAGTAAAACTTTTATAACCCCTGCAAATTTAATAAGCTATATAATATTTTAAAAAAAATTCTGGTAAATAAAAAGTACAACATGTACTTAAAATAAAAATTCAGGAGTTTTGAGGTAGTTTTCAAATAAAATCAGTTACGATATTCTTGGATTCTAAAAGGAAAGAGTAGAGACTAATTTGTTTATCTTCCATTATCGTCCTACAATGGGGGCTTCAGTCTGAGTCGCTATAGGATGATAGGGGTTACTGTTTGATAATATGCTTGAGCGTCGCAGGTCGGGCTTACTTTATTTGTTATTAGTTTACTTACTGAAGTAGAACAGATGGATAATGGATTCCAACCTTGCAAACTGCGATTTTCTAAAACAACAGTTTTTCGATTCAGCATCGCCTCTCAATATCGACTCTTTACTCGATGCTTTTAATTTTTTGTCAACTCAGACTGCAAAACCAAAGTATAGAGGTACCCTTGTTACTTTATAATATTTAAATAATTAAAAAATAGACTATGCTCTATAAAGGCCAGCAGAGAGTGGAAGTATTCAATAACCGTTATAATCTTTCTTTAAAAAATGCTGTGAATTTATGTTTAAAAATTGATGACTTTGTTAACCTCAAAGCCATCGGGAAAGGCGAGTTTGGTGAAGTAAGACTGGTCAGTCACTTATTAAAATTATTATTTAAATAATTTTTAAAACTTCTTCAACTATTATACATAAGGTGAAATTTAAACAAACTGGAGAATGCTTTGCTATGAAAATTTTAAACAAATCGACCATTACTAGAAGAATGGATGAAGCCTGTTTCTTTGAAGAAAGAGACGTGATGGTTCAGGTCTCTCAATTTTTTTATTTTTTCACCTTATAAAAATGAAAATATTGAAGTTATGATAATTTCTATATGTTAAAACTATTGTGTAAAAGTTTATTGCGCACCTTCACTTCAGCCCAAAACTAACACAATAATATTATATTCATTTAAAAATAATATAGTTAAATTTTAAATTTTCTATTATTTTTAAAATTTTATAATCAATTTTACTATGATTTATTTTTTAAAATTTCAAAATTTGTAAGGATTACTCTTTTTCAACAGGTTAAGAGTCCTTTTATAGTTAACTTAAATTACGCTTTTCAAGATGAACTGAATCTCTACATTATTATGGATTTCCTTCCCGGCGGAGATTTGTGGCAGATGTTGATTAATACTGCCGAAGAGTGGACTGAAGAGTGGACAAGGTGCCAAGTTAATCGTAGCAAAAAAACATTGATTCATTTAATCTGGATAATAATAATCTTTATTGGGTTGTAATAGTGTTATTTGGTAACATTTACTTATTCGTCGCAAAAGAAAAAATTTAATTTGTTCAATTTTATCTTGATATTGATAATTTTTACGGTTCCAATAGTATTATTTTAGATACCAAATTGACTTTAATTGTCGCAAATTAAACCTGAATTTTTAATTTGTTCGATTTTATTTTGTTTAAATTTTTAGTGATTTGTGTAAGTCCTTATATTAATAATATTTTACTTAATACTTTATATCTTTAAACTTTTTTTATGAATTACTAAATTTTATAACTCATCATTTGAATATAAATTCTCGCTCTTACGTCTTTATTGATGTTTCTTTTTTTATATACTTTACTTTGTAAATTTTAATTTATAAAGAATTCGCTTTTCTAGAACTTTTTTTATGATTAAAAATTAGAATAATAATTCACTTTTTTTTTTTTTTTACTAATTTTATTATTATATATATATATATATGTACAATTTAGATTTTACATGGCCGAACTTTTGGTGGCTCTAGAAGATTTACACAAGACCGGCTACATGCATAGAGATGTTAAACCCGAAAACATAATGGTTTAAAAAAAATAATCTCGCAAATTACAAGATTTGAATTCGTTTACATAATATTCTTCTATAATTAAAATAATATTCCATTATTCACATAAAAAATGTTTGTAAATAAATAATCTCGCGTAAATTTAAATCTAAATATTCTTTTATTTCATATTTTTAATAATTTTTAAATTTATAATAAATTGTTATACTAGAAATATTAATATTAACATATTGTGAGCAATACATATTAACTCTCATAAAACTTTTTTCATACAAAAGATTGATGCTAACGGCCACTTCAAACTTACTGATTTTGGCTCTTCAGCAAAAATCCCGCTGAAGGGATTTCTAGATGCCAACACCGTCGCTGTGGGCACTCCCTGCTACGTGGCTCCAGAGGTAAATAGCAAATAACGATACAATAAATAAATAATGGCGCTAGTAAAATAAGAAAATATAAAATCTGTAAATTCAAAAATTATTTATAAAAATCTCTTTCCAAAAACTTTTTATTATAACTTTAGTAAGAAAACCTATACAAGTTGTAGTTTTATGAAGTATTAAATTTCTTAAAGATGTTATTTTTAATTATTATAAAAAGTTTATTATTTGTAGTATAACTTTTATTTAAGAATCTTTTATTTATAAGTAAAAAAGTTATTCTTATTCTGATCTTGCATTAAAAATTATCACTAGTAACAATAATTAAAAATAAAGAAGGTTGGGGACAACAAGAATATAATAATTATTTTAAAAAAATTTATAAGTGACACCAAAATAATTATAAATAATAAAATATTATTCAATAATTATAATAAAATAATAAATAAATAAAAAATTAGTAACAGAAGTAATAATAATATAAAAGTTATAATGAATTTCGTACTTTCCCACCCTTTCCTATAATAAAACTTATTATAAACTTTTGTTTATTAGAAAAAAGCGCAGTTTTTATTATTAAAAGTTTTTTATTCAGAATAAACTTTTATATTTTTTTTCGAAATCACCAAACTTTTATTTATATATTTTTTGAATTGACCAGAAACTTTTAAAAAGTTTATTACTATAATAGAAAACATATATTTTTTAGCATCGAATACCTTCCGCCTTACACGTGGTTGCATGTGCTCTTATTATATATATTTACTTCATATAATTTTCACTTCTAGACCTTCATTATTTTTACTTTTATAGAGTTTTTAATAGTAAAAACGTTCATAATTTTTAAGTATTGTTATAATATGCATACTGTTTTCGGCCAGTCAATATTGTTCTTCGGACTTCGTTATTTATTTGTTATAAGTTCACGTATGGTACGGCTCGATCACGTGTTAAAGGACCAATGAAATCAGTGAAATACTCGCGTTAACTTTAATGATTGGTTTGTACTAAATTAGTGAATTTTTTTATATTTATTGTAATACATTCAAGTTTATGATTTTTGTATTGAAAAAAGTAATCCACTGCAGTACTATTAAATATTCCACGTGGTTTAAACTACTTAATTACGTCAAATGATTGGTTCTTTTATTTTTTCTATAATACCAAAAGTGGCATTACATGTTTTTAATAATGTTTACAAGAAAAAGTATACATTATAAAAAGTAAGAAAAAGTTTTGAATTCTGAAAGAAAAAATATAATAATTATTGCAGTTTTTATAAATATTTATAAAAATTATAGTAAATTTTATTTTTTTATATTTTCTTATTTCGTAATATTGAAAATTTTCATATTAACATATTACTTTTATATAATTTTGAAAAAATGAATATTTATACTTTAAAAAATTATTTTTTTATGGTTTTTACTTGTCAACATTTTTTTATTACAAAATATTTGAAGTTTCACAAACTTTTAATATTTATAAGATATAGAAAAGTAATAAAATTTAGGAATATAATAATATTTATTTCAGTTTATTAAAGAAGTTTTTAACTTTAAAGAAATAGTAAATGAAAAAATACACTATTTTATGGTACTTTTAATAAATATAAAAGGTTCATATGCTCCTAATATTATACTTAAAAAAATAAAAGTGTGCGAAGGGATAAGAGCGAGAACAAATCAGTTAAATTTTATTAAGAAAAAGTAAACGTAATAAATATTAAAAGTATAGCTGTAAATATAAAAAACTATAAAGCATATAGTATAATAATAAACTTATAGCTCGCGAGATACCCGCCTCGCGCACTTATTGATCGCTATTAATATCCACACTCGAAGTAAATATTATGAAAAATAAATCTAAACGGTTTTCTAAGTTTTACTGTAATAGAGAAAGTAAAAAGAAACATAGCAATTATGGAAATTTTAGTAAATCATAATTTTTCATGCAAAAAAAATATATTTTTTTGATATAATAGTGAATCAGTTTTATATCATGATAACTTTTACATAAATAATAAAAGGATTACAGTTCATTAATATAAGTAATACTTTTATCACCATAAAATATTATTTATATGAAAAGATTCTGAAGGCGGAGGAGTACAGCGAATCGGTGGACATTTTTTCTTTTGGGTGCGTCCTTTTTGAAACGATCATGGGCTCGTCCCCTTTTGAAAGCGAAGAAAACGGCTCCATATTCGAATCCAACGAAAAAACCAAAAAAATAGAAGTTTAGTGGATAATGTGTATTTATGGTTTCATTGGTTATTTATTCAGTATTTGATGGGTTGCCTTTTTATCCTTTCTTCCTTGTTTATGGAAATATTCATTCATTATACTTTTTGAGTAAGTTGCAGTCGTCCTTCTATTTCATTGAAGCAGCTTATATACCCTAAAATTTTACTGATTCCTTGTCGTTTTGTATATAACAACCAATAGTATTACTTTCCTCCACCTGATGACGAGCTCAAGTATTCTCCTGAATTTGCTGATCTCGTCAAAAAACTTTTGGTAGCTTGCATACCATTTAGGCCCGCTTATAGTTATTATCCAATAATTGTAGGTTGAAAAGGAAAAGCGGTTAACCATTGGGCAAATAAAAGACCACCCGTTTTTTTCCTCCATTGATTGGTCTAAAATACGGAACATGGAGATAACCCCACCATATAAAGTTTTTAAGACTTTATTTGGATAATATGATAATAATAGTAATAATAATAATAATAACTACAGCCGACCCTCAAAAGCAACTTTGATACTACCTATTTCAACGACGTGGATGGGGAAGCACGTGCTGAAGGCTTTACAGCAACTCCCGAGTTTTCCGTGGACCATCTTCCTTTCGTTGGCTTTACTTATGACAAGTTTATTATTATTAATTATTATTACTTTTATCATCATTATTTTTATTTTCAGACGCCATTTTACAGAAAGTAAAGGGAAAGAAAAAGTACGTCTTGCCGGAAACGAAAGTGAATTTGTAAAAACACTTCAGCTCGAGCTTGAAGAAATGAAAACTAAGTTGACTTTAGCGGATTCCGCTGCAAAAAAAGGTGGCGAAGTCTCATAAACTTTTTTGGATCGACTTCATTATTTTTTTTGTGACTCAAAACTATTTTTTACTGCACTCATTAGAAAAACAAACTCTTTTGGAGCAAATAGAAAGTCTGTCATCCGCCGAGGCTGAACTAAAGTCGCTTGAATGTAAATATAGAGCAGCCAATAGAAAGTTGGAGCGGCTTGAGCAGGCCAGAAAAAATAGTTCTTCTTATTATGAATGTTATTATTATTATAATTAATATTCTTTTTAAGGCATTCAAAAGCAAATGGAAGAATCCAAAGAAGTAGAGAAGAATTATAAACGATATGAAACGGGTTTGTGGGTTTTTTTGTATTGCAATTTGAAAGAAATATATACTTTTTGTGGTAGAGTTAAGAACAACCACTTCAAAACTGAAACAAGTAACTGAAGAGGTTTTTATTAGAAATAGAATAATAATTATAATAGCAATAATAATAATTAAATAGCTTCAACAACGCGAAGCGAGCATTAAAGTTCTTGAAAATCAACTTTTACAGCAACAAACCAATAGAAATGTTTTAAACGAAAAAGGTTGAATATACTTATGCCTACTTTTATTGGTTGCTAAAGTTTGTATTTCTATTGGTGGCTTATTATATAATCGGCATATGATTTATGTGCATGTATCTAATTGGCTAATTCAACTGGTTATTTTAATTTGTAGTACTTTTGTTGATTGGCTGGTTTTTGTTTAGAAATGCTGGAGCTGACCTCTCGACTGGAATCTCTTTCCCTTGAAAAGGAAAACATACGCGCTGAAAACCACAACTTGTTAAAAATAAATACAACTTTGAAGGGTTGCTTTATTCATTATAATAATTGTGATCATGATATCACTACTATCGCTGCAGAGGAAATGGATGCAGCCAATGAGAAAATGACCAGCTTGACAAGAGAAATAAAAAAAAATAAGGAAGTTTTAGATTCTATTGATCAAAAGTATCAAACACTTCAGCAGGACTTTCATATGTTACAAGCAGAAGTATTATTATTATTATTATTATTATTATTATTATTATTATTATTATTATTATTATTATTATTATTATTATTATTATTATTATTATTACTATTACTATTGTTATTATTAATATTACTATTACTATTATTATTATTACTATTACTATTATTATTATTATTACCAATACTATTATTACTATTATTATAGAAAACTAAACTTTTAGAAGATTTATGCCAGCGTGATGAGGAGTTAAAAATAAAAGTAAAAAATTTAGAAGACTCCAGAACTTGTCGCTATTATTATTATGGTTTTTATTATTATCATTATTATTATAATAAAATAGTTATCGACGAGCTTAACGAAATGAATTCTTCACTTCGCCAAACTCTAGTTCAACTCACTTCAGAATTGGAACTTTCAAAAACGAGGAAACATATTTTTTTCATAAATTTTGATGAATATTATATTTCATTATTATTATTGATTTTTTTTTCCCTATAAACCAGACTTTTGAACTTATCGAAAAGTTTAAATGAAACGAAAACAGACGAAGCCATGCGCATTCAAGAACTCGAGGATGAACTTATTAATATAAAAACTGTAAAAGCCTCATCGTTCGTTATTTATATATTAATAAAATAATAATAATCATAATAATAATAATAATAAAGAGAAGTGAATCTTCAACAAATGAATGTCAAAGTTGAAGGTTTAAATCAAAAAGTGGAGTTTTTGGAGGCCACTTCTTTAAAACTTTCGGAAGGTAGATAACTTTTATTATTATTATTATTATTATTATTATTATTATTATTATTATTATTATTATTATTATTATTATTATTATTATTATTATTATTATTATTATTATTATTATTATTATTATTTCTATTATTATTATTATTATTATTATTATTACTATTATTATTATAGAGTTGATGGCTTATAAAACGAAGTACGCGCAGGCCCTCGAAGAAGAAAAGAAAAATAAAGCCATATTAGTAACCAATACTAGTGAAGTTGCTCTGCTATCACGGAAACTTAGCCAGTTCACAATTCTTATTCTTATTCTTATTCTTATTGCTATTCTTATTATTACTAGCTCAAGTACAGAACTGAAAGCTGCGCTTTCCAAGCTGGAACAGCAGAACAATGTAAACTTTTTATTCATTATAATTTTATGTATATCCCCCTCATTTTTTTTAAAGACCCGAAAGTTCCTCGAGTCAAGCTTGTCTTCTTTGAAAAGCGAAAATGAAACGTTGAATATGAAAATAACAGAATTAGCAGCACAACTGGAAACTTTCGAAATGTTTTATTTCTTTTCTTCTCTACATGTTTATATTTTAATGGATATTTTGTATTTTTTTATTGCTTTCCTTCTTCACTATGTTTCATTATTGATATGTATATTTACTAAAAAGAATAAACTTTTTATTCTCTTTTTGTTTATATTTAATGAAATAGTTTATATTATTTATTTTACTGCCTTTCTTCTTCACTATTTTTCATAACTGATTTGTATTTCTTCATGTTGATAACTTTTTTTTTATTTAATATCTTTCATTTTTTTTACTTCTAATTTTTTTATAAACTAATGAGTCGAAAAACTTTTTTATTTCTTTTTTTTATGTAAAAGTTTTCGATAACTTTATAATTATGAATATCCATTTTTATATATATTTATGTAATTTTTTTATTTTTCACTTCCTATTATATTACATCAATATTACTACTATTGCATTCTTTATTTCACTACTTTCTATATATTAATAAGTTTAAGTTTGTTCATTAAACATTTTTTCGTAGAGAGCTTGCTAAGCAGAAGGAAGATAACTTATCACTGGCTACTCTCAGGGTAAGCCAATTTTTTATTGGCAGAGAGTTGTTTATATAATTTTTATTGGCTATGAATATCTGTAAAATAGCACGATTGGTAGTTATTTAGTTTTTTTTAATGAAAGGTCGAAGAAACTGCACAACTTAAAAAACTTGAAGCGCAATTGGAAGAGGCTAATCACGATGTGAGTCAATTAGAGTTCGAAAAACGGGAACTTGGTAGAACCCTCCAACTTGCCGAAGAAAATTGTATCGATTTAAAAGAAGAAGTATCAAATAAATTATTATTTTAATTTTTGATACTTTTTGAAAAACGCAATCAATAAATTTTTTTATTTTCTTTTTGAGGTCGAGCAACTGCAAGAAGAACTTCGAATCGAAAAAGAAATGGTTTCTTTCAAGACTAATCTCGCACATTTTCACTTCAACTGCATCATTTTATCCTTCCATGTACCAGATTGCGAACTCGGCCGTCGAACGCAAAAGTCTTTTACGGGAAGTCGACAAACTGAACGTTTCCTTGGGAGAGGCTTCCTTGCGGTTCTTGATATTTTTTCTGCGTCTTTCGATATTTTATTTTTTAATTTTTTGCTTGTTATTAAATATTTTTATTATTATATTTCTTTAACTTATAAACCTTTTATCAGTAGACTTCAAACTATGGAAGGGGAGAAGGAAAAACTTACGCGCCTCCTGCATATCACACAAGCGAAACTTGATCAGGCCGTGTCCAAGCTGGAAATGGTGGCGCTTCCGGCCTCTCGCAAGAAGTCTAACACTTCCGCCGTGAATAAGCGAGCGGTTCGCTGTCTGTATTGCCGCTCCCTCCAACCCGCCATCAACACGTGGCTTCCTCTATCAGATGAAAATGCTGGAAAACCAACGCCACGCAGAAATTGCGGCAAACAAGCGCTTATTGGAGGAAAATCAGCGACTCCAAAGTCTTATTGAGACCACCGCATTTGATAATGAAAAGTACGAGGCCACTTTACTGGAGGTATTTTGTTGGGCTCATTATTATCATTATCATTTATATTAGTATTATTAGCTGGAGGACCTGAAGAAAAAGAATGAAGAACTCCAGCAACTCGTGAACCACCTCAAAGCTTCGAAAGGGGCACAAAGTGGTTTGCAGGGTTACTTGCAGATTCTCAAACCCCCGCTCAAACGTGGCGTCTGGCGGACCGTGTATGTGATCGTGAGTGCGGAGGGAAAGAGGATGTATCTACACCACGAACAGCCGCGTGGCTCCTCCGATGAGCCTTTCGAGACAATTTCAATTGGGTACCACCCACAATCACGTGCAGCTTTCAAACTGTGATTTTTTATGTAAACAGCCACGTGTTTCATGCACGGGCAGTCACACCTGCGGAACTTCCGATGGCTAAGAAAGAGGAGATCGAGGCTATTTTTTGCATTGTGTACACGAAAGGCTCATCCAATCCGGCTCGGAGCGACTCGAGGTGTCACGTGTTACAGGACACGGGGAAGAGCTTTGAGAACTGCTCTTCCTGCAATGAAAGAATGCTTTTCAGTAAAGTTTTGAAGTGCAGAGGTCGTTAGCATTATAATTATTATTATTTATTATTACTATAATTCTAAAAGACTGCCTTCTAAAATGCCACGCAAACAACCCCACATGTGTGGCCACGCTAAAAAGGAAGCTGTGCTTCAACACGATGGACGCGCAATGTCTAAATTTTAAGACGAAATCTGTTCAAGAGAAGCATTTGTGGGTAGAAACGTTGAAGAAAATCAAAACGGAATCGTCGTTAAGTGATTCTTCCTTGCAAAAAAGTAATAGCACGCTGTCTCTCGGATCCATGGCTTCCTTTAGTAGTAAAAAGTCGATGGGGGAGTGATCTCCTTCACTTTTATATAAATTTTTATTATATTTTGGTTAGTAATTTAAATCTTTGATCTATAAAAATAAATATTTAGATTATAATAAATAAAACATTTCTTTTATTTGTTTATTGGAAGAAGTAAAGTATAACGCGGGGAGCGCAGTAACATATGAAACTGAAATAACTAAAAGTAACCTCTTATTCTGGTTAAGTAAAACATTTAATTAAAATACTAAACAAGAAAATAATTTTTGCCTACAATAAAGTAATTCAAGGCATCCGTGAGAACTTGACACGATAGTGACTTCTTTTTTGTAAGAAGCAGCTCGACAGGGCTATCCAGTTTTAACGTGCTTTCGTAGTAGTCAATAGTAGTTATTAAAATTAATTTAACAGTAGCAGTTTAAAAAGTCTACTTTGACACTTGTAAGTTTGTACTGATTTCTGTACAGCTTTCTTTTATGCAAAGGTTTAAATAACATAAATTGAAGAAAGGAGAAAAGACTGTCAAATTTATTGAGGGCGACTAACGCACCACGATACGAAATAATAAGGAAATGATCCCTTCCACAACTTTTTTTATTGCTTATTTTTAACTTCATGTGGCCTATTTCCTAAATATCAAGCTAAAGTTATTTAGCACTTCATTATAGCAATACCATTTACCTATTCACACGTAATATTTGTGTAAAAACAGTTTCCTTGTAAAAATTTTTGTTATAAAGAGGAGCTACCACTACCAGTAAGATCGCTCCCAAACTCCTGAAATTATTTAAAATTTACCAATCATAATGTAAGTATCTGTAATCTAGGGCTATAAATCGCCAGCGTTGGGAAACGTCGCTCTACCTACCTCCTGCCAGCCTTTTTTTAGGCTATCCCTTTGCGTGGATGGCGTGATGCTTTATATAAATTATGCTGCAGCCTGGGCAAAGGCTCTACATGTATACATATACATAGTGATTTGGATAAAAAGTTATTTCCATTTAGACTAATTTTTCCTGTAAGGGGGATTCGAGGCCTGCTGACTCAGTTGTACACCAGAAAAAATTATTTTAAACCTAAATTAGTTTAACTAGATCAAGGTGTTTAGTGCGACAACAATAATTTACTGTTTTTGTGGAGGTAGAGAGTTCTAATTCTTTGACTTAAACATATAGAAAAACAAAAAGTAGGGTGAAATTTTACTCAAACTATAATCAAATAAAACCATAGAAAAACCTCCACTAATAATAGCAATTGGAAACAGCAGTTAAAAGGGAAGAGAAAAGGTAGAGACAGACAAGTAAACTAAGGATAAACAGGGCGTATGATCTAAAATAGAAGCAAAACTTAGAAGCTAGGATATTGCAAAATTTAGAACGTGGAGCGCAAATTTTAAGTATCAATAACTAATTTATTAGTCCCTTAGCTCTTAACTTGTCCCTTTTAAAAATATAAGTCGCAAGCACAACTAATTATGTGGAGATAAAAAGCAACACGCCGGTTAAGAAAAACTTTGCGAGCATTTTTGTAGCTTACTAGAAATATACGACTACGCTCTATTAAGCGAGGTAGATTTATTAAATAGTTCAACGCTTTCTACACACTTGGGCTCTAACAGCCAGTCTACAAATATTACTGGATTCGATAACCAAAAACTTTAATAACGCCTTTTTCTCTACGCTAAAGCTAAATATTGCGGGTTCATGAAGTCGAACTAAAAACAAAAAAAGCGAAAAATCTAATTCGGGAGCTTTATATAATAAATTTGTTATGACGAAAAGCTAGTACTAAAGTTGCTACTCTAATCACGCAAGTATGAAAAAAAGCCTTCTTTTTTTCTTTTTTAACGTTTAGTTATTATAAAGTAATTTATTGTACGGTTGTTATACTGGCCTTACGGCCATCACGAGGGTTACTAGATTAAACATTATTTTTAAAAAGACAATAACTGCTAGAGTTAGTTAAAGCGGATAAGATTTTCATCTAATATTAATTTTTTTAACCAGGTAGAGATTTTAACACTTCGAAGTCTCTTAACTTTTCAACCGGCAATTAAGCAAGCACAAGAAAATACATAAAGAAAAAAAAAGAAACAAAAGGTTACGAAGTTTTACCAACGAAGGCTTGCTATGTAAATTTAATAACAACTAAAGTAAATATTATAGTGATCAACTCCTGAATTATGAAGCAGACAATTGTATGAAATTTTAATGTGAACTAAATTTTAAAACTATAAATTAAGATTTATGTTCTTCTTAAAGAAAATCCGTAATAACACATATTTGTGTCAAACAATTTCCAGTAGTGAATGTGCTTTGCTACTAGTATAGATAAACCAAGAGGGAATAGCAGAAAAATATCCCGTAACCTCTTCACTAAACAATCTTCCTTTATTTACTTTTTACTTTATTAAAGCAAAATATTACTGTTTCTATTTCCACGTTAGGCATAATAATATCATCGTTAACTTTATTCAAATTTTCCTTATATGCTTATGCGAATCCAAGAAGGATGAATTACTGGAATGTGGACAAGATCAGTGTCAAAAAATTCAATAAACTGCTCATTCATAAGTCGCAGCTATATATATATACAATAAATTAATAATAATAAAGTTGCGTTCCAACATTTGTTAAATTTTAGAGTTTAGAAGAGGAGAGCATCACACCAATAACATGGTCATAAGCGAGTTTACAAATTCAGTATCCGCGCCGCAGTGGCGCACTTTTATAAAAATTAATGGTGAGAATGAAGTCTTATGGAAATTCTGATATTAATTAATAGTTCTTATGCCCTTCCTTTCTTACAGAACATATTAAATTTATAATTTATAATTTATAAAGCCAGAAATCTATATAGATACCAATAGAAGAAAGCCATTATGAAAATATAAAAAAACTAAAGGACATATGTATGACTTGTTTCTTCACTGTAAACATTAGAACACTTCCGTAAAAACTTATTATAGAAAATGTTTTTTTACTATAATATCAAACCTTTGGACCAGCGAACCTCCTATATTCTTCAAATATACTGGTAAGATTCCAGCGCTGCAACTTTCTAAGGCATCCCACTAAAGTACCTGCGAAGAAAACTAAGTATTAATTAAGATATTTAATATTAAAAACTTAAAAAGTTAACAAATATTAAATAAAAAAACGTTGCAGACCAGTTCTGTGTCGTCCAAGGTTGCACATTATTATTAGAGGATAATTATCAGGTTGCAAAACAATTTGAATCTTTAGTAAAACAAATAAAGCTATTGCTATAAAACTTATTATATTTTATGATATACGGCATTTAGGACTACTTCCTCTGACATAGGCCATGAGCTTGTGTTATGAGAAGGATCTTCTGAAAGATGATGCAAACTAATGTCGTTGTCCTCAGCAAATATCAATCTCAAATTATATATTAAAAATAACACAAAGAAAACGGAAAAACAGCAAGCTACAATTCTTTTTTTGGTAGTTCTGTGGCTAAATAGATTATTTTTTTTAACTTTAACTTTTCAAGAAAGGGAAAATTAAGATTGTTAGGCTCCCCACTTCGATATAGATTTTCCTCCACCAAGCCAAAATTCTTATTATATATACACACATACTATGTGATAAGCAGAACGCTTTTGAACAGTAACACATAATAAGGCTAATATAGGAGTTGGTATGTAATACAAAATATTAAAACCAAGGGAGGTATGAGATTTTGGCACATCTGTTTTGAAGGTAAGGAAAAACCTTTTTCTTATATGCGAAGTACTCACCACCACGCCTTATGGAGCTCAAAAATATTACTTTTTGATTAGTGCACCCTGGCATGGCTAACATTAAGTTTTCAACCACTAGTTAGAAAGGCAATTGAACTAAAAAACCAATTAGCTTTAAAATAGAAAAAAAGGCACACCAATTATCAATTATGAATATTTTCTAGTTAAAATATTCATCTTAATGCAGCTTATGGCTCGCAGCAAACACTTAAGCTAATAAAAAGCACTTTTCAAAGAAAGAGAAAGGGAGTGAGCGAATTAAGTTATTTGTCTAAGTGTTCATTGTATTTATACTATCTACTTGTATTTCCAATAATGAAATGTATGTATTGTATAGTTAATTAAAGGTTTTATTCAAGTTTTCATTATAAATGTTTTTTTCTATTCAAAAGGATTTTACACTAACCTAATTAGGAGTCAGAGCGCCACTTAAAAGAGAGTTAGCCTTGAAGCAGGAACTAAAATAATTATTACTTTTTCTATGAGACCCCATTTAGTTTATGCCTGTAGAGCTATTTTCACGTGAAAATGGAAGCAACTCATTAAATTTTCTTCACTTCTATAAGCATTTTAGCCATAGGCGCAACATTCGAAATTTTAAAAGTACGCACAGAAAGAGCAGAATTCACACTTTATATATATAAGGTTAAATTTAGTTAGTTTGGTTTTTAAATAAAGTGAAGATTTTTTTTTTTTGCTGAATAATTTACGGGGTTTTAACTAAAGTCTGTCTACAAGGTTTTTTCTTCAAGACAGTATTTACGAGGTTTTCTTTGAAACCGAACTTATGCGATCCTCCTTTTAATTGCAAGACCGTAAATAATAAACAAGCAAGAGTAAAACACCCAGTCAAAACTACAGGCAAAAAAACAGCTAAAAGAGTAAAAAAAACCTTATATAATACTCTAAAACGATGTTTAAAGACACGGGACTAATTAAAACATTGCGTCCAATGAAAAATAAAACTTAGATATATCAACTATCAACTAAATTGTATGCTGTAAGTCCATATAGTTGACATTTTCATAGATAGATTTTTTTGTGAATATATCTGCTAAATTGTAATTTGAAGTTACAAATCCTATCATAGTTGTTCGAAAGTGTCTCATTTTTTAAGTTGTTTAGTTTGTTCGCCCTCCAGCTTGGTGTAAGATGTAAACTTAGCGATTAATACAGAATAAAGTAGATGAAAATTAATTAATCCATTTACAATGAGGTCCAAAACTAAGAAGGCGGTTCGGGCCTAATTATATACATATTACAAAGTTATCTTTATTTTAAAGCTGCGTAATTTGATAGTAGTAAAATGGGTACCCCCAAGTAAAAGATTTACTCGAGTCCATACTTAGATTTATTTAAAATCTCGCTGTCTATACTGTTCTGGTAGGGAATGTAGGATACGTAAAAATACATAGATATTTAATGTATGATAAATGAATAGACAACTTACATAATATATTCATTAATCAGGCTGCCCCTTTCATCGCAGCTTGATCCACCCTGGAAACAAATAGGAAAAAAAATTAGATATTCTGCTGGGGCTCTGTCTTTTTTTTATACTTAACTGACATGCTTAATCGGGGGTCAATAGGAGCTAAATAATTTATTTTTCATTTGCGATGATATGAGGGATGGTAAAAACTAAGGGGCTAACATTGACAAAACATAAAACCCACTGTGGCCCTTGAGTCAAAATTATCAACCCATAATACATCGCAACTAACAATCATTTAGTATTAAGAGAAACTGACCATATTTGTTTACATCCCTAAACTTAAAACATTCAATGTTGTAGAGTTGATGTTATATTTACAAAATTATTTAAGTTTCAGATAGACCAGGATGACGTGCTACTCGAGAACCCAAATAGTTGTCAAGTTTCTGATAGGTAATAAAATTTTTCTGTAATGCTTTGGCGCAACTGCTGTGTCGACGTTCTTTCAATTTTTTTAATTTATAAGGATTCAGCTCATTTAAAAAAAAAATTAAAGTATTTCTAGATACACGCTAAGGGCTTTTCGAATTTAAATTTAAATTTTGGCGAGGACGTGCTTAGTTACGCCACCATGAAAGACGAAAAAGAGAGTTCCGTCGGTAGAAATCGAACTATGCGTACCAATGCTTTTAACCACTGAGCTACGACGACAACTCACCATTCTGGTATGATGGTTATCTACCTATCTAATCTGTTAGACTAATCTTGGGTCCCCTTAAGATTAACCGCGACAGAGCGCGTGCTTATAACGAACTAGAATCTGAGGACGAGAATAAAAACGCGGTCATCAAAAGATCGAAAAAGAGAGTTGCGTCGGCGAAAACTGTACCACGAGCTTGAGTATGCCCATCAATGCTCTTAACCACTGAGTTACGACGATAGTCCCAGTTCCGGTAAGATGTATTTACTTAAATTTAGTCTGTTACATTCAACGACTCAACAACTCACATTTAGTTAAATGTTGAGGCTTTCAAGTTTAAATAAATTTCGGGCGTCATATTTCTCGATGTTGAAAAAGCCTTTGTATACTAAATGCTTGAGAGCCTCCTACACAAAGACGTTCCATCGGCTACAACATTAACGGGTTCCTAAATGCGCACCACTCTCATGTGTTACCGCCGAGCGGCGGAACAACGAGACGTCCAATCCTTACAAAGCGACTCTGCCGCCATGCACCGCCAGACTAGCATTGTGATGGTAGCACCTACAACGCTAATTAAGAACAGCTGCAACGAGTAAAAAGTAACCTAGAGAAACACTGCGCTATCTTAGTCGCTTTTATCGAAGGGTACATGATGCTACAAAAAAAATACTTGAGCGTTATCATTGATGCTCGCAACTAATGGCGCTCATAGTTTAAAGCGATGAACTACGCGCTCTGCCACGGTTGTGTGCATAATGAGTGATGTCCTCCCTCAACAAACTGCGCCTATATGGTGAGCGTGCACCTTATTTCGGCTTGCGCTTTCTTTACTTGGTCGTGCGACAAATTATCAAAGCTACAATCTTTAAAGACACTAATAAACAAACTCTTACGGCTTACGAGTGCCTTATATCGTGCGCAAGAACACCTTGCACAACGGAGGTAAGGAGTTACATTAAAAGCCTTGCTTTCGGAATTAATATGAATACAAACTGCTTAAGCACTTACATAAAACTTTAAAATGGGCTAAAGCTCCAAACGGTTCTAAAGGAGCTTTTACCAGTAATGCTCAAGGAGGTTAGTCGAGTCTAACAAGTGAAGAACAACGCGCAGTTACTCTGAACCTCAAAAAAAATAAAAATAATCCCGAATTTCCCAACCCTCGAAAATTGAAAAAAAAAATTAGTTAAAAAAAACTATATGCAATAAACCCCCTAAAAGAAATGATTGCTCTTCTCCCCCTCTTCATTTTTCTATAACTTTATCAGCACCAGGTTTTAACCTGACCTTTTTTTTTCTCATTTTTTAGATCGCAATATTTTTTCTAAATCCCTTTGGATCTTACTCTACGTCCTATTTAGATCACTCCCTCCGATTAAAATTTCGTTTTAAGCTTTTAGGCTCTTTTAATAATACACAGGCTTTCTAATGGTTAAGCTCCCAACAAATTATCATGTAGACAGTTACTAACAATACTTTGTTCGGCCCTATAGACCAAAACATTATATTAAACTTGCTCTCTAGATAATAAAGCTAAAACTTCTTTACAGCCTATAGACTGAAAAAATGCCACAAAAAAACTAAAGATCGAAATCTCGTTTTTATTGAGTTCAAAGGATATATATAATATATGCAATTTTAAAATAATCTTGACAGATTAAATCTACCAATTAAAGTTAATATAAAAAATGCAAACAGCATACCCTCAGTTGCGTGGAAAGTATCCCTTTTTTTTTTCTATTTTTGTTTTTAACTGCGCACTGTAATTGGGATCATATAATCAACACTCTCCTTCTCTACGTCTTTTTCGACTCCACATTTCCAAAATTTTCTTTGTCTACTACTAAACTCTTAAGTTTTCATATAACCTTACTTATCTCTTTCTCAACTTCTTACACAACTCCATACTTCCCTCTCTTCGTTAATTTATTTGTTTACCGTTAAACTTTAGTTATCCTCCCTTGAGTTAAATAAAACATTTTTTACTTTTGCAGAACTATCCAGATTTATATATACAATAACATTAATTGCAAGGACACTACTAATGGATGGCTCCCAATTTCGACTATGGCTTATTGATATTAAAGTAGCATTGGTAACTCAAGGGACCCAAGATCCTTTTTTACCACACGAAAAAATTGTAGAACCACAAGTTACTTTACATGAAAAATTTAAAAGGATAGCACATGGTATACAAGTTATGATGAATAGCCATCACAGAGACGTAATATCTAAGATAGATAAACTGAAAGTTAGTGAACTGGAACGAGCCATACAAAACGACAAAGACACTTTCGGCAGAAAGTCACTGGTATCATTTATGAAAAAGTAGATGAACTTTGCAACCTTACGAAATGGGACGACAAATTCTTCAGCGATTCGCAAATTGTTTAGAACATATTTCAAATCAAATAGAAAAACAATGCACCGTTGAAAAATTAACACCTCAGATAAAAGAAGTAACTAATTCATTTAAAATTAAAGCCCTTACGCATCGAGTAGGAGAGGGATTCGATATGTAGAACAGTATTACTGTAATAATCCTATTTCGCTTGATTATAGATATGCACAGCGGAAACTAGACGTAATATAGAGGACGGATCTAAATTAACTCTTTCAATACCACTAGTAAAACAAAATTTTACATAGGGCAATCCTTTTTTAATAATAGGGAAACAAGAAACTTTGAATGCAAGGGCTGTGATGGACCTCACTTAAGATCCCAGTGCACTCACATCAGAGAAACCTATTCATTTTGCCGAACTATAGCTCACCTTGGAAAGACTTGCCTAAATAGATTATCGAAAAATAACACCACTAAGGTCTATTGGA